TTTATAGTTTTATAGTTTTATAGTTTATGTTTTATAGTTTTATAGTTTTATATTGTAATGCAGTTTAATGCTTAAGGCGAGGGCCACTAGTTTATTAGTGTAATCACTTTTTCGTGTTACCCTCTTTAAATAAAGTCTTTACTTACTCACTTCCATGATAGAGGTAGGAAAACCGGAGAACCTGGAGAAAATCCCTCAAAGCACAGTAGAGAATCAACAAGCAACCTTATTCACATACAATGGTGAGTCTGGGGATTAAACCAACTACACAGCGCCTGAAAAAAGTTAACTACTTAAATAATACAAAGTGTAAATAAATGTTGGACGTAAATATAGGCTGTTTGTGGCCTCGAAGCGTGCTCGTCGCAGTAAAGCGAGAATCAATTTCTACACTTTGATATTTCATAAGTCTTCAATGAAATGCGGCACGAACAGCTACAGCGGACATCCGTGGGGCCGTCACTAGGTGTCCGTGATAACGAACTATTTGTCAGTGTTTTTGCAGGGGAATTTGCTAATCCTGTCCGTAATAGTGAGGTGTCCATAATATCGGAGTGTCCGCAAGGCAATAGTTATATATAAAAGCAAGAGAAAATGAACTAAGACAAGGAATTTCCCCTATATAGCCTTGTAACCATCATGTGCACAGTTTGATGCTATTTTTAAACCATTTGTTTTTCTGCACGCGCATTTACTGCGCGCGCTCTACGCTTGCGCTTTTTGGGTTTTTCCGTTATTTCGACTCTGCCCTGAAGATGAATGTGCACGTCGAAAGCTTGGCAAATACGACAGGAAATTGATGTAGTAATTTGTTCAACTTTCTGGAGTATTTTTTACATTTATTTTGACCTAGATCGTCATCTTGAGGGCAGATTTGAACATTATATTTGAACATAAGAAAAGCACAAGAAAGCGTTAGCAAACAGCGTAGAGCGTGCGCGTACTATGCGCGTGCAGAAAATCAAACGATCAAATAAATGATATCATTGGATGATATTTTTAGGATAGATTCTAAAAATAGCATCAAAGTGTGCACTCGATGGGGCAAGGGGATTCCTTCTCGTAGTTCATATTCTCTTGATAAAAGGCTATATATTTCGACCCATTTTAACTGGAATATAAAGAAGCTCATCTGGAAACGTTCTCCGTGTACTCGTCTCGACCACGAGTGACTTGGGTTAGGCACCAAATGCCAACCTCGTCTCCAGGGCCATCTCACGTCAAATGCATTGCGAAAGTGGAGAACCGCATATGAAATTTCCTCTACGGCAATAACGAAAAAATAATGAATGTAGTAGAAAATACTTGAGCGCGATAACAGTTTGGTGTCAACATCATTCAATACTGTATCTGTGATGTCTATGTCGTAATATTTATTTATAATTGAGCTTTGGAAAAGTGGTAATTTAGCAGCAGTAAGGGGGACACGCGGTTTCCCCAGGAACCCATGTCGTTTTTACGGGAATTACCCGCGTTTACGCCTATAGGAAACTTTTT